TGTGTAAGCTGCCTCGAGTCGCCATGGGTGAATAGGCAGCAATAACAAACAAACAAACAAACAAATAAATAAATTCACTCTGTCGCGTGAATCAGCCGAGCTGCAAAAGAAGGAAATGTAAGACAGGATAGGGTGGGTGGGCAGGGCCAGCTGATCATCGTTCGTACCGGTTCACTAGAACCAGTCCAAACCAGCAACAGCCCACCACTGGATGGGGCCTATTGCCACGTTGTGAGGCTGGATTTTTTTTTTCTCCAGATGGACTGGTTTTGACATCCATTGGGAGTGGAGGCTGAGTTGATGTAGATAAGAGGTGGGGAACTCTAAGCCACCTTTATGACTTGTGGACTTCAACTCCCAGAATTCCTGAGCCAGCATGGAGACATTCAAGACTTTAAAGTGCACTAACCCTGGATTACACACACTGTAATGTGGGCTGGGTTTGAGTGCGTCTGACAAAAAATGGGGTTTAACTGCAGATTATGGAATTTGTTGAACCTCAAATAGTTATAAGGTGAATCCTCATTGCTAACTTCCATGCTGCATTTGATGGAACCAATTTACATATGTCTAAAATTAACTATAGGGACGTGGCGGCTCAGTGGCTAAGACGCTGAGCTTGTTGATCAGAAAGATCAGCAGTTTGGCAGTTAATGCCACATAACGGAGTGAGCTCCTGTTACTTGTCCCAGCTTCTGCCAACCTAGCAGTTCGAAAGCATGTAAAAATGTAAGTAGAGAAATAGGGACCCCTTTGGTGGGAAGGGAACAGCGTTCCATGCGCCTTCTTTGGCGTTTAGTCATGCCGGCCACATGACCATGGAGACGTTTTCAGACAGCACTGGCTCTTCGGCTTTGAAACGGAGATGAGCACCGCCCCCTAGAGCCAGAAACGATTAGCATGTATGTGCGAGAGGAACCCTTTGCTTAAAAATTAACTATGATGGCTGGGAATTATCAGAGTCCCAACAATTATGGGAAAAAACACCCTGCATGGACAGTATGTCAGGTGGAGATTCTCAATAGACACCTAAATGTTGAGCCAACTTTGGTTTAGTAAAAGAACTACAGAACGACCGACTGGATTATGTTGGTTGATGGGTGAAAACTTCCATTGACCCTGGTTAGTCAGACCATGATGGTTTGCAATGGTGGGAACTGTGACCAAACATCCAGAGATTCCCCAAGTTCTGGGAAGTGTCTTTTGAGGAACGTATCACTTGTCTTGAATGTTCAGCTTCACACGGAGCTCCTTTGTAAGTGTGTATTGGTAAACCATGGTTGAATTTAAACTACAACTCCTCCCCATCTATCTCTGCATAGGGAAGATGCATTCGCACGTGTGGGCATTATGTGTTGTTAGCGGACCTCTGAAATTGTGACAATGGGCACCCCTTCCCTCTTCCCACTGTCTCAGGCTGTTCTCTGTTGGTAGCAGAGGTCATAGAAAAATGTAATATATTTTTTTTGTTCCTCGGGGAGACGAGAGAACACTCTTCCACTGCTGTTGTTTTCCAAGTTTAAACTTCATTTTAATTATTGTTTAATTTTGGCCACTCCGGCCCCAGCTTACCGTTGCTCTACCAATGCAACGCAAAGCGAATGTCCTGAAAGCTCTTTTATGTTCCTCTGTGTTCTTCCTTATCATGACAACATATAAATCATTGACTTAATTGCCCTGCTTTGCAGTGCTTCCTTTTCCCCTCCTCCTCTACAAACTGTGGTTATTTTCTAACCGGCTTCTGGTCCCATCCTGGTTCTTAACTTCTCTTAATTGGGGTTCCCAGATTCCCTTGGATTTCAAAATGCGCTCCTTAGCTTTTGCTGAGCCGTGAAGTGGGGTGAAGAGACTCGGGTTCAAGGCCCCCCCGCCACCATTCAACCACCAATCTGTGATTTAACTATCGTTTCAGCCCACCTATCTCTCAATGTCTTTTGGGGCTTGTTTGTGGGGAGGAGTGGGTACAATTAAGGGGTGATACACCCCAGTGGTGGGATTCTACCAGTTTCCCTACCGATTGGATGATTGCGCCCTTCACGTGTGCATGTGTGCGCACACCTAACACACACACGCACAGCTTTCCAAGCACCAGCTGAGGCTCGGCTGCACTGATCAGCTGAGAGTATAAAGAAGAGAAAAGCGCAGGGGGCAGGTGGAAGGGCTGATCCTGCGCTTTTCTCTTCTTTCTTCTCTCAGCTGGTCGTCAGAGCTTTTTTGTGCTACCGGTTCGTCGGCCAACCGGTAGCATTTCACCACTGATCCACCTCCCCCAAACGGTGCTTCAAGGCAGGATAGAAATGCCAGCAACACATGAATAGTGCTAACTTGAAGTAGCAATAGCAACAACACGTAGATTGATATGCTGCTTTCCAGCCCTCTCTAAGCAGTTGACAGAGTCAGCCTGTTGCCCGTCCCAACAATCTGGGTCCTCATTTTACTGACCTCGGAAGGATGGGAGGCCCCATCAGAATTGAACCCCTGGCGGTGGGCAGAGTTAGCCTGCCATGCTGAATTTTAACCGTTCTGCATCACCAGGGGCCTTTCAAGCCTCACTGAACCCAATGAATTGTATTTCCCTAACCTGTTATTACTCGGACTTACTTCTGCGTTCCTCTCCTTTTGAAATCAGCGATGATGATGGCATGACCCATTGTTGTAATCGTCACATGCTTTCCCAACTGTTGTGACTATAGCTCCAGACTGCGGTGTGGAAATTGGCAGGGAAACAATGATGTTACTTCAACGATGGGCTGGTTAGGCAAGATTTGCAGGGGGTGTCCTTGCTTGCCTAGGCTGGGAAAAAATAAACTAGGAAGGTTGTGAAATTGACTTAAAACTGTCAAAAACTGCTGGAGGGGTTCAGAATTGGAGGGGCAGACGTTCTCAGTGATGCAATAGTCAGACTTTTGTCATCCACGTGGAACTGTAGTTGAGCTGGGTGCAAGCATTAAAACACCTCCAGGTGTCAGGGAGAGACTCCCAGGTAATTGCAAAAACTGTATAAATAGCCTGTTATCAAAAAAAAAAATAAGTGCTTCACTAGGTCCAACTTCCAGGTTTTTCCCCCCTTTGGTAACATTGACTCCCAAAGGCACAGCTCAGGAAGCACATAGTTGGCTCTGATCCCTCCGAAGGGCCTCACCATGTTCCTGAGAAACTGAAAAGAATCCCTGACGCCAAAACTGCCAAAGGCAGATACAACGCAGTTTGTCCACCAAGGTCGATGTAGATTCCTCGGCTGAGCCATCAGCTGTTGTGATTCCCCCTTCCCATCCTCCTGGTGAAAGACGGATCATGTGGGGTGAAACACTGGCTCATTTTGCAGATGCGACACAATGACGACATGTCCTTGCTTCCGTTGCTCCTCTTCGTTTGGCCTCCGTTGGGTCCGTTTTTAATGTCCCTCCACTTCTAACCATCTTTCTTCCTATCTGCTTCTGAACTGAGGGGGGAGGGGGTGATTCAGGGTTGCCAGAGGGAGAATGACGCTTAGGGTGTGACAGCTGGCGTGTTGTGGCCTGTTGGCCACCAGGTCCTCCAGCAGCCAAATCAGAGGAGGAGGAGGAGGAGGCGTGGAAGTCAGGGTCAACATCAAGGCAACCTGAGAGCTCCGAGGGGGAAGAGGGAATGGAGCTGGCAGAGGGAGAGAGGCAGAGGCAGAGCCTGCACTGCCTGTCAGCCCTTAGATGGAGAGTCAACAGCTCCCAGGTCTGGAGGTGGCTGATGAGGAAGAGGAGGAACAGCTGGGTCCAGTGCCTGATGTACAAATGCACTGAAGGCAGAGGAGAGGAGAGCAGTGGAAATCTGTGGGCCGGTCCTTGGGAAGGAAGCGCCACCGGCTGCTAGTGAGGCCCCACCCTAGCTCTGGGGATAAAAGGCAGGGGGTGGAGATGAATAGGAGTGGCAGACAACTATTCATCTTCCGGCCAGACAGACTTGTTAGCCTGCGGTGAGAGAAACTATTTGCCGGGGCTGCCGGCGCTCCTAATAAAGGAATCTTTGGAGTTCACATCTGAGGGTTTGTTGTGTTTGAGGAGTTGGGTCAGAACATGGTGGACAAAGCTGGGGTTGTGTGCATCCTTTAGGATAGGACCTCCAAAGCCATTTTTGCCCTCAATTAGCAGGGGAAGGGCATGGTTTCCATCCCACGCATTTCCTTTAGCAGCTCCTAAAGACCTTTCCTGAAGAATTCCCTTCATGGAGGCTCATGCCCAGACACGCAGAACTGACGGTTGAGGGTGGGTTGAACCGGGTAGACCTGGTGGCTACCCTGAGTGGGGAATTCAAGCCACCTCAACCACGGAATCTCTCTGTCTTCACTTCTCCACAGCTTGCTGGCACAGCTGTCCTCGCAATTGGACTATGGCTTCGCTTTGATTCACAGAACAAAGAACTCTTCCAAACAGATGAAAGTACTTCGAAATTCTACACAGGTAAAAATCATCAAGAGCCTCTCAGGTTCGTACAGAGATGCAGCCAGGGGGTGGGATTCAGCCCATTTGGACCAGTTTGGGCAAACTGGATGTTAAATTTATATCTGGTTCGCCGAATTGGTCGTTGAACCGGCCGGCTGGCCCCGCCTGTCCCACCTCCGCCCCTCCCGGGAGTCTCCATGCACTCCTTTTTGGATGCAAGTGCAAGGTCAGCACGAAGGCTATGGGAGGAGGGAAAATGGGTCTTCCAGAAGTCCGGAAATGGGCCTGTTTTCGGCTACTGGAAGGCCTCCGGACCCCGGGGGAGGCCATTTTCACCCTCCCAGAGGCCCGAGAGAAGCCTCCGGACCCTGGAGAAGGTGAAAAACAGCCCTCCTGGAAGTTCTGGTAGGCCACAGCCACCATGGCCACGCCCGCCCAGCAACCGGTTCGCTACCCGGTTGCTGGGATGTTTGAACCCCACCCATGGATGCAGCTGCTTCTTAAGGCTTATTGGGAGGATGGAGAGTATAATTTCATAAGAAGCTCCTGTTGTAGAGAGAGGGCAGAACATTAAATAATGTATCTTGAGAGTTCAGCTTGGGTTCCTGTTAAGTTATGCTAGATCAAAACAAATCAAGGCATGTAGACCAAGGATTAAACATGACCCTCTCCTTTTCAGAATACAGTAATTTTTCAACCTTGGTGTCAGGGTTCCAAGTAATATGCCCATAGCAAAACAGAATTCTGAGGTGGGTACGTTCCTCAAAGAATAGTTTATTGGATATATCATATTGGCTCAAGCTGGTGAAAACCGACTCTGAATGTTCCCGCGGTTTCATCTAATTAAAAGTGAAGTTTTTTCCCAAACACTCAGTCACGTGGTCCAATCAAGGTGCTGTCCGGTTGCCTGGTAACATCACTCCTCCCCTCTGTGACCATCTGTGGGAATGTCCTTGGTTCCCAGGAGAAAGTATTTTGCTTTCACTACAAACCCCCAGGTATTTCTATTCTCCCCTCCCTATCCCTCAACTCCAGTGTGACAAGACTGAAGCCTCAAAATGGCTTAGGTCGGGCCAGCTTCAGGGTTGACACTTGGGAAGTTTAAGATGGGTGGACTTGGTCCAGCTTTCTTAAACTTCCCAAGATTGAAAAACACTGCACTAGAGATTATTAAAAGATTATTAAAAGGAACGTGGTGGCTCTGTGGCTAAGATGCTGAGCTTGCCGATCAGAAAGGTCAGCAGTTCGGCGTGTTGAATCCCTAGTGCCGTATAACGGAGGGAGCTCCCGTCACTTATCCCAGCTTCTGCCAACCTAGCAGTTCAAAAGCATATAAAAATGCAAGTAGAAAAAAAAAAGGGACCACACCTTCGGCATTTAGTCATGCCAGCCACGTGACCATGGAGACGTCTTCAGATAGCACTGGCTCTTCGGCTTTATAACGGAGATGAGCACGCCCCCCTAGAGCTGGAAGCGACTAGCATGTGTGAGGGGAACTTTTACCTTTAGGAATTAGGATTAGAATAGGATAGGATAGAATTAGAATAGGATAGAATACAATAGAATAAAATAGAATGGGATGGAATAGAGTAGAAAATGGAATGGGAATGGGAAGAGAAGAGAAGAGAAGAGAAGAGAAGAGAAGAGAAGAGAAGAGAAGAGAAGAACTTTCTCACTTTAAATGTACACTAAGCATACATTAAAATAAAATTTCATTGCATTCAGCTCTCAATAGATAACCATTCTGCCTATACTCACATACACACACATCTAGAACACAAAGAAACATCACAGGCTGCCAAATGATACAGAGATATTTTTTTTCCTAGTTGGGTTTCTGCAGCTCTGGTCCAGCTATGAGCAGCCAAAATTTTGCTTTAGGCTGAGCTTTTTCAAAACTGGACATTTCAAATTCTTTGCATTCCAAGGCTAGCCACATTTTTTTCCCTCTGGAAAATCCAGATGTTTGGCTTTGGGGTTGTAGAATTCCTTTTCAGGTTTAAAACATTTCAGGATTGTTCTTCCATGGTGGTTTTTTTTTTTTTAAATCCCTGACAAATGCAGGCCTGGTAATTGGAATAAAAACCAGTTTTAATGCAAGACAATGTCTCACCAATTTCATTGACCCTTAACGCGGGTGGTGAAAGGGTTTCCCAGAAGTGCTGACCTGAAAAATTATCCTCTAAAACCATTGGTGCTTTTTGTTCAAGCTTCTGTGCAAACTTGGGGGGGGGGGGGGGGGGAGTGCCATGCACAAACATTAGTTGGATCTTCCAAACAGAGACAAAAAAATTTTTTTTTTCCAGCCACAGAGTTTGTGTGAGGTCTCCTGAAGCATTTTTTAAAGACATGCCCAGCCCAAAAAACACTCAGTTTTCCTTTGAGGTCAACCGGGCAGTGCTTTCATAAAGATAATAAAAGAATGTTTGCAAAACATCCATTAACTGATCAACGTTCTCCACCGCATTGCAAGCAACCGTCCTTGGCTTCCTTTATGGAAAATATATATATATGTATGTGCAACTGGTATTTGTGGTATTTGTGGGTGGAAATGGGGGAGATGGAAGAGAATAATAGCTAAAGCTGCTATGGTAGTATTGCTTAAACTTGTAGCACCTGGCGATTCTGCAAAATAGATGCACAGCTACCCTTCAGAAAACAGCCATTTCCATCTTGAAATCATTCAGGAAGAAATTTAAAATGGTCGGTCTGGTGAATGAATTTTGATAAGCAATTGCAGTTGTGACCCTTATTTGTTCATTTACTAGAATTTTAGCCTGCTTTTATTACTTACAAGGGTACTCAAACTAGGCAAGTTTAAGACTTCTGGACTTCCACTCCCAGAATTCCTGAGCTAACATGACTGGAGGAGGAATTCTGGGAGTTGAAGTCCACAAGTCTTCAAGCTGTCAAGTTTGAAGACCCCTGTTTTAGAAGTAACTCAAGCTGGCAAGCAGACATTATACTCCTTCCTCCTTCTGTTTTCCCCACAATAACAACCCACCTTGTGAAGTGGGTTGGGCTGAGAAAAGTCACCCAGCCAGCTTTCTTGCCTAAGGCAGTATTAGAACTTACAAATCTGGTAATTGGCCCAAAGTCACTCACATGGCTTTCATACCTGAAGCAGGATTAGAACTCTCAGTCTCCTGGTGATTAGCTCAAAGAACTCTCAGTCACCCAGCTGGCTTTCCTGCCTAAGGCAGGACTAGAACTCATAGTCTCTTAGTGATTGGCTCACAGTCACCCAGCTGGCTTTTCTAGCTAAGGCAGGACTAGAACTCACAGCCTCCTTGTTTCTAGGCTACCACCCTAGAAGAGACAAAAAGGACCACCGAAGTGATTAGGTGATGCAAGGAAAGATGACAGCCATTGGTGTAAATGCAGTCGAGACATGGATGATGGCCGGGATCAGATCCACAAACACAAGGAACCCCAGTCAGAAAACCAGAGCTAGTCGTCCTTCCTTGCCAGGTTAATGCTGCCTTGGTTGAACTCATTAAGAGAAGGTGCCCGAAGGATTAAGGATCTTAGCAGTTTCCATGTCATATAACAATTCTTCTTCTTCTTCTTCTTCTTCTTCTTCTTCTTCTTCTTCTTCT